GGCAGTCTTGGTTTCCATCAGAGAGAGTGCTTCCCCGATCATTACCTTTGTCCGACAAAGGGGCTGATCCTGTCACTATGATCACCCACTTAGATGAATTCTCAGACTGTCCCAACATACCTAGGTTTTGATCCCCTCTAAGGATCTCACTGATTGGCACATCAAAGACAGCCCAATCCAACACCTAGTGTAGTATCATAGTCGAGTCTAGGGGTCAAGTGTAACTTTCCAATTTTGCCCATCAATCTTCAAGGTCCCGGGCAATACTAGAAATCTGGTCTGGTTCAAGGTTTCAAGTAAACCTACATTGCATGTGCCTCGGGTCTCACCCTGGCGGCTGAGACAGGCCACCCCAACATTTGGTAGCACACCAGTGTCAGCCTTGGCAGGATAAATCTCCCTAGACTTATCCAACGGCTGTGAACATTCTAAACTAACACGAGTCTCATAAGTGTCCGGTTTAAGGGTATTACACAGAAACACACCACAAGAACATGAATCAAATATGTACTTTATTCATTTACAATAAATGTCATAATATACATCAATCTGATTTGAGCTAAGGGCATACAACTGTCTAGCAGCTCCCACTTGCACTTAGGTCCAATCTGGTACAAGCCGGAGTCCCAAACTTTCCACATGTTTCTCAAACACTTTTTGTGTCAGTGGCTTAGTCCATAGGTCTGCCACATTCTCCGCTGATGCTACCTTTTAACATCAATGTCCCGTAGATCCAGTGTTGTCACACAACAGTGGAATGGGTGATGTGTGGAATTCCAAATTACAAAATGAACACCTTCATTCATAAGGCAGCCTCACTTACGGCAATGTGTTCGGCTTGGGTTGTGGACTGTTATTCTTACTACTTAGGACCCCTGTTTGCTGACTTTCAGCAAATAGCACACGATCCTATTGTGAAATCATACCCAGATGTAGACTTTCTATCGTCTGGATCCGACTGGAAATCGGCATTAGTATACCACTAGATCTGTAGTGAGTTAGCATCGAATACCAAACAAAACTCTTTTGTCCTCTGAAAGTACTTAAGTATATTTTTCACAGCAGTCCAGTGCTCCTGCCCCTAGGTTGGCCTGGAATCTGCTTACCACACTCACTACCTAAGCAATGTCAGGATGAGTGCATAGCATGGCATACATGGTGCTCCCTACGGCTGAGGCATAGGAAACGTCCTTCATGCCCTCAATCTCCTCAGAAGTCTTGGGAAACAACTTCTTGGAGAGAGTGACTCCGTGCTTGAAAGGAACATTTCCCTTCTTGGAGTTCTTCATGTTGTATCTCTTGACAATTTTGTCAATGTAAGCAGATTGGGATAATCCTATTATCTGCTTCGATCTATCTCTTTAGAGTCGAAGACCCAGTATATAGGAGGTTTCTCCAGGATCTTTCATGGAGAATTGTTGTGAAAGCCATACTTTTATCGTAGTCAACATTCCTACATCATTCCCAATTATTAGAATGCCGTCTACATACACAACCAGAAACGTAACCTTATCCCCACTGGACTTCCTGTAAGCACAGGGCTCATCCGGATTCTGCTCAAAGTCAAACCTTTTTGACGGTAGAGTCAAACCGGATGTTCCAACTTCTAGAAACTTGCTTAAGTCCATACATGGATTTATTTAACTTACATACCATGTGTTCCTGACTCGTAGCTATGAAACCTTGTGGTTGCTGCATGTAGATATCTTCAGTAAGATCTCCATTCAAGAACGCAGTTTTGAGATCCATTTGCCAAATCTCATAGTCATGGTATGCTGTTACAACTAGTAGGATCCGAATGGATTTAAGCATGGCCACGGGCAAAAAGACGAGCTTTGTAGGTCTCAACCTTACCATCGGGGCCCTTCTTCCTCTTATAGATCCATTTGCAACCAATTGCTTTTACCCTGGGGGGCGGATCTACTAGAGTCCAGACTCCATTGGTCTCCATTGAGTCCATCTCAGCTCTCATGGCACCTACCCACTTCAGAGAATCTATGTCCGACATAGCTTCCGCATAAGTCACGAGATCCTCCTCACTAGTGAAGGCTTCCACCAGGTAACTATCCTGGTCATAGCCAAAACAGACTGGTGGCCT